GGTGTGATGCATGGCATGCTGCGATGCATGGCATGGTGTGATGCATGGCATGGTGTGATGCATGGCATGCTGTGATGCATGGCATGCTGTGATGCATGGCATGGTGTGATGCATGGCATGCTGCGATGCATGGCATGGTGTGATGCGTGGCATGCTGTGATGCATGGCATGGTGTGATGCATGGCATGGTGTGATACATGGCATGGTGTGATGCATGGCATGCTGTGATGCATGGCATGCTGTGATGCATGGCATGGTGTGATGCATGGCATGGTGTGATGCATCATGCATGGCATGCCATGGGCACAAAACGCACTACTGCTTCCCACATCACACGATGCCCGCACACACCACACCATACATGCACATGCAAGGAACACATGAAGAAACTGCCAAGCACAGCGGGGCAAGGCATGCAGTATGACCACAGCGGGGCAAGGCATGCAGTATGAGCACAGCGGGGCAAGGCATGCAGTATGACCACAACGGGGCAAGGCATGCAGTATGAGCACAGCGGGGCAAGGCATGCAGTATGAGCACAGCGGGGCAAGGCATGCAGTATGACCACAACGGGGCAAGGCATGCAGTATGACCACAGCGGGGCAAGGCATGCAGTATGACCACAGCGGGGCAAGGCATGCAGTATGACCACAGCGGGGCAAGGCATGCAGTATGACCACAGCGGGGCAAAGGCATGCAGTATGACCAAAGCGGGGCAAGGCATGCAGTATGACCACAGCGGGGCAAGGCATGCAGTATGAGCACAGCGGGGCAAGGCATGCAGTATGACCACAGCGGGGCAAGGCATGCAGTATGACCACAGCGGGGCAAGGCATGCAGTATGAGCACAGCGGGGCAAGGCATGCAGTATGACCACAGCGGGGCAAGGCATGCAGTATAAGCTGGGCTGAGACAGCTGTTGGCTCATCGCTTGTCCCCCATGGGTCAAATCTCGTAGCGGCACAGGCCATGTCAATCCCGTGGAGAGGGTGCAGGTCGAGTGGGGTGGCAAGGTAGGGGGTACCAGGAAGAGGGCAGGGTGGGGCGTTGCAGGGCAGGGGGGGAGGTACCGGGGTAATGGCGCGCAGGGTGGGTTCGATGCGCGAGAGCAGGTGGGTGGGGAAGAGCAGCAGGCAGCGGTGCCACGGGATGGTGTCGTCAAACGGCAGCTTCCAGTTGTCCGCCACCACCACTGGTATCGCGCCAGCTGTCAGCGCCTGGTTCGTGGGGCAGGGGCCGGGGGAGTGGGGAGGGGGAGTAGGAGGGGGGAAGGGAGTGGGGGGGAAGGAGGCGGGCGGGGGCAGGCGGATGGGAGGTCCAGTGAATGGACTGCTGCTTGCCCTGCCCTCTTATTCACCGAAAGACACACCTCATCACATCACTGCTTCATGGAACACAAGTGCCCCTGCGAGCAACAAAGCCAGCTGTACGAGGACCGTTGGACCCACCAACCAGGAAGCGGTACGTGGAGGTCTGTGAGTGGTACCCGCCCACCCACCCGCCCTCCCCCCTCTCCTTCCCCACGACATACCCTATGGAGCAGTACATGGAGGCGTGTGGAGCTCAACCCCTCACCGCCCACCCACCCACCCATCCCCTTCCACCCCTCCTCCACTTTTGACGCGCCTCAAAACTCAAACCTGTTCGACTTCGCATTTTGCTCATGCCCGCACCCACACACCCACCCACACCCCTGCGCCCCTCTCCCCCTCCAAGGCTCGGACCTCAATGAAGCGGTAGGTGGAGGCCTGGCGGCCGGCGGGGACGAGGGCGAAGGAGGAGTTCATGAGGGCGGGGTAGGAGAAGGAGCGGAACAGCGCTGCGTCCGCTGTGCACTCGGGCAGCAGCGACGGGTCCTCCTCGATTATCCTCCGGTTCGTCGACCCTCTGATTCAATGACGGGTGGGGGGTGAGTGGAGGAGTAGACGTATGAGGCGTTTTATATGTCACTCAAAAAGCACTTGGGTGGCAGCCGTGACGGGTCCTCCTCGATTACCCGCCGGTTCGTGGACCCTCTGCTGGGGTGAGCGTGGAGAGAGGAGGGAGGAGCTTTGGAACGAGTCGAGAGCGCTGAAGCATGTGGGGTGAGGTGGAGCGGGATAGCTGTGTGGCTGGCGACGGGCACGAGGTGAGATATTGTGAGACCAGGTTGGGTGATGAGCTCTTGTCTGCATGTGTGTGTGAGTGAACCGCAGCGCCCATCCATGCGTGCACTGACCCGCACTGGGTGACAACGATGATGTCCTTGCCATTGTGCAGCGCCTTGAACGCCTGGGAGCTGCGGAAGCTGCCGTGCATGGAGCCCAGGTAGCGCGTGCCCATGAACGTCAGCAGGTACCGCCGCGCACCCACTGGCACCGACCGCAGCCCCGCCGCGTGGCGCTTCCAGGTGGGCGGCAGCGGCAGGGAGACGTCGAAGGCTGCGCGGTGCACGGTGAGGTGCGCGGCTGTGAGCATGAGCGCCGCCTTGCCCACACTCCACGCCGGTGGCCCACTCCAGTTGTCTGCGAAGCTGGCTTGCCGTGCAGGGGGAGGAAGGAGGGCGTGGGGGAAAGCGGTTTGAGGGAGGAGATGGGCAGGCATGAGGCGTACGTACTGGGTGGTATTGGGGTGAATGGAAGCATGGTGAGACAGGGGCACGCAGGGTGCATGGAGATGCTCCTCCTCCTCACATGGTGTTGCGTTTGGCTCTTAAGGGCAGGAATCCAAGGACATGAAGAATACTTGACTCGCCTTCATTGAGAAATAAAATATACCGACTCTTTCCACATGGCTCACACTTTATTCAGCATCGCTGCAACTGCATAAGTCACCTTATAAGGACATGACACCCTATAGCCACATGTCACCTTGAGCACATATCGCCTTATAAGAACATGCCACCTGATAAGCACATTGTCACCTCACCTGATGAGCACGTGTCACCTCACCTGATAAGCACATGTTATCCTATAAGCAGGTCACCTTATAAGCACATGGTTGTGGCCGTCCTCCCCCCAGAAGGGCAGGTCTTTGAAGTGGCGGGGGTGCCCCGCGGACATGAAGACAAAGAAGAAGCACGCCTTGCTGGGGTCGTCCGTGTGCCACCTGCTGCCCGCCCACCCGCGCCCCACCAGGTGTGGTGGTGGGTGGGGGTGTGGGATGGTGGTGGTGGTGGTGAGGATAGTAAAGAAGGAAGATGGGAGTAAGGGATTGAGCGCGGGATGATGGACAGAAATAGTGATGGACAGAAACAGTGACTGGAAGGATCCAATCAGCACATAACACAATCTCATCAACAAGTGGCGGCATGACATGAGCACCTGGTGGTGTTGAATCGGGCAAAGTACTTGGGCCCGGGCCAGTAGGAGTACACGAGGGGCTCGCGGGCGGGCGGTGAGGGGCAGCGCGAGAAATTAAAGCAGGCGTCCATGGTGCACAGGGGGAACACGGGCGGTAGGTGGAACGGCCGCTCCGAGTACCATAGGTTGGTCTGCAAGAGGGGGGAGAGAAGGAATGTGGGGGAGAAGAAGCTGAAGCAGGCGTCCATGGTGCAGAGGGAGAAGACGGGGGGCAGGTCGCAGGTCAAATGGACGTTCCAAGTACCATAGGTTCGTCTGAATGGGAAAGGGGGGAGAGAGGGGAAAACGGTGGGGGGAGAGGTTGAGGCGTCCATGGTGCAAGAGACGGAACACTGGTGGCACGTGGAACAGGCGGCTTGAATAACATTGGCTCGTCTGAACGGGGGAAGTGGGGAGAAAGAGAAAGTTGGGATAAAAAAGGCAAGGGGAGGAAAGATGGGGCGAGAGGGAGGGGCGGTCTGGGGGAGAAATGGGGGGAGCAAGAGGGCAAGAGGGCAAGAGGGCAAGAGGGCAAGAGGGCAAGAGGGCAAGAGGGCAAGAGGGCAAGAGGGCAAGAGGGCGTCCATGGAATGGAGCAAGGGAGAAAGACGGGTGGCAGGTGGAATGGACGGTGTGAGTACCATAGACTCGTTTGGAAGGGGGTGGGAGTGGAGGGGGGTAAGGTGGGACACGGGGGAAGCAAGAGAACAAGAGGGTGGAAATTGTGAGGGCGAATGCGAGTGGGGAGGGCACGAGGCAGACGGGGCACGAGGCAGATGGGGCACGAGGCAGATGGGGCACGAGGCAGATGGGGCACGAGGCAGATGGGGCACGAGGCAGATGGGCGCGGGGGCTTGCCTTGACAACGACGGTGGGGTTGGCGGAGGAGCAGTTAGCAGTGGGCTCGAGCGCCTCGTGCGGCAGCTCCACACTCCACCCCGCCTGCCCGTGGGGTGCGGTTGGGAGCGGCAGGGTGCAGCTTGTGAATGCGGAAGTGGAACGTGAGAAGAGGGAAATTGAGGGGAAATGCGAGAGTCAGGGCGGGGAGAAGGCAGGAGCGGTGGGGTAAATGCAACGCAGAGGGGGTGGGGAGGGGAGGGAAGGGGGGGCCTTCCAGGAGGCAGGAGGGTAACAAGGAGGGGAGAGATGACCAACTTGCGGAATGCTCACTGGGAGGAGCGGGGGAAATGTGGGAGGGAGGGGGGAGGGGAACACGAGAGGGACCTGGCGGTTGGGCAGGCGGATGCAGCCGAGCAGCAGCAGCGAGGTGGCGGCGACGGCCAGCAGCAGCAGAGCGACGGCCATCTGCGCCGCCGCCATGGCGCCGCACGCCCACCGCTCGCCCGCCCACCGCCACCGCGCACGCGACACTGCCAGCGGCCGGGCGCCGGGGCTGGCCGCCTTGGCGGGCGGCATGGCGGCGTTGGCGGGGCGCCAGAGCCCCCCCGGGCGCTTAGCGGAGATGGCGACCCACGGCGACCCGTGCGCGTGGTGCATGCCTGGCGCTCCTCATTGACCCCCCATGCTGCCCACGGGAGAGGGGGTCATATGGGACAGCGGAAAACACGGGAGAGTGAGTGAGGCAGAGACACGGAAAGGGTAGAGTTAGGAGTAATTGAGAGATGGGAAAGGCTAAAGAAGGGAGTAAGGCAGAGAGGGGACAGTGTACAGTTCAGAGTAATGCAGGAGAAAAGGTAGGGAAATGGGTAAGGCATAGAGTGAAAAGGGAAGAGATGAGAGTTAAGGAGCGAGGGAGAGATGGAAGGGAGAGGGGAGGAAAAGAGTGGGAAGGGGGAAGAAGGGCGTGAGGCAGAGACGGAAGTACACAGAGGTGCAAGGGAGACATGTGAAAGGGGTACGTTTTGAGAGGGGGGGAAGGAGGGGATAGAAGGTGCTCTCCGAGGATGAGCACAGATGTGTTCAAGGGGGGAGGGAGGGCGCGGGAGAGATGAATTGGAAGTGGCACTGTGCGGGGGCCGGAGTTGCGAGGTGGCGGGGTAGAGAGACCCAACACCGGAGGCTTATTCCCTCCCCTCCCCCCTCTCGCTGCTTCCTACACCCCCCCCCCCTCCCTCTCTCGCTGCTTATTCCCTCCCCCCCCCCTCTCTCGCTGCGTATTCCCCCCTCCCCCCCCCCCCCTCGTCTCGCTGCTAATTCCCCCCTCTCCCCCCCACCGTCTCGCTGCGTATTCCCCCCCCTCTCCCCCCCACCGTCTCGCTGCGTATTCCCCCCCCTCTCCCCCCCACCGTCTCGCTGCGTATTCCCCCCCCTCTCCCCCCCACCGTCTCGCTGCGTATTCCCCCCCCTCTCCCCCCCACCGTCTCGCTGCGTATTCCCCCCCCTCTCCCCCCCACCGTCTCGCTGCGTATTCCCCCCCCTCTCCCCCCCACCGTCTCGCTGCGTATCCCCCCCCTCTCCCCCCCACCGTCTCGCTGCGTATTCCCCCCCCTCTCCCCCCCACCGTCTCGCTGCGTATTCCCCCCCCTCTCCCCCCCACCGTCTCGCTGCGTATTCCCGTAACCCTTCTCGCTGCTAATCCCGCCTGCCCGTATCGCTGCGTATTGCCCCGTGCCCCATCTGCAATTTCCGCCCTGCATGCTCGCTGCTCATTCCGCGCCGCCGGCCTTCTCGCTGGTGTTTCCCCCGCTCCTTCTCGCTACCTCCCCCTCGCATATCGCTGCTCACCCTCTCGCGCTTTCTCGCTCGCATCCCCCACGCACCTCTGCGTTATCGCTGCTCTTTCGGGTCCGCGCCTCTCGCGTAATCGCTGCAGCCTCCAGTCCAGGCCACGCCCGTCGAATGCGGCTCACACCGGACCGCCTCTCGCGCGAAATCGCGAATCAACCACGTCCGTGCCTCGCGGCTCCTCGGTGCTTTCTCGCGTTACCCGTTACGCAGTTTCCGCTACTACAACCTGTCCACCTAGCGCGCACAGGATGCTCAATAACCGCCCGACAGAATCTACAACCACACTGGCTTAGGTTTTAGCTAGCGCTATGGGTGGGAGGGTCGAGCAAGTGTAAATGGTCGTACGTGGGCAAGACACAAGGTCTGTTTTAGCGACTATGTTCTCAGCTGACTAGGTCTTACCTTGGGTCAGTCTGGTCCAGTATTGATGGTCTGTCGAGGGAAGTTGGGCTCTCATCTCACGGCAGTGCGCAAAGTCAATCAATAAATAATGAGGGTATATTCCGCTCTGGACATGTCCCAATCGTACATGTCCCAATTGTAGATACAATGAATGTTACGGGGTACTTTACTGTTCAAGGGTATTCTACCCTAAACAGTCCCCCAACCCAATCCCAACCATATCTCCATCCAATCCATTTGTGATTTCCTTGATTTCCTTCTGCCAGTCTAGCTTTCTTGCATTCTACTTTCTAGTCCCACTTTTGGAGTATGAAGGGAATTTAGTTTGGCATTCACGTAGGTGCAACTGTACCGCACCCGTCATTATCGAAGCAGCGCTAGCAGCAGTATCAGATTAGCCCGTATCAAGGGCAGTAAGGTCAACAGTCGCAAGAGTCAACTGTCGCGACTGTTGACCATCTGTGTCAAACTTATATGACATAGTCTGTGTAGGCTGTAGTGGGGTAGTCAATATAAGGTACAACACTTCAAGGTTTTCCTACTTGTACCCACCTGCTTGCTAATTCTATCATTCCTCGTTTCTATTTTCACATGGTTTCTTAGCAGGTTCCCTAGTGGGAACGATATTTTTAGGGCCCACCACGAAATTTCCTACCCTGCCCGAAGCGCGCTGTCGCGCCTGTCTCACCTGCGCCGTCGCGTGCCCTGACCTAGCCGCCCGTCGCGGCCCTGCCCTACGCGTCGTCGCGTGCCTGCCCTCCCTGCAGCTGCCGTCGCGCGCCTGCCCTGCCCTGCTGCCCGTCGCGGCCCTACCCTACCCGCTATCGCGGCCCTGCCCTGCCGCCCCACGTCGCGGCCTGCCTCAGCCGCCCGTTGCGGCCCTGCCCTGCCGCCCCATGTCGCGGCCCCTGACCTGCAGCCGCCGTCGCGGCCCTGCCGTCTCCGCCGTCGCGCCTGCTGCCGCCGTCGCGGCCCCGCCATAGCGGTCCTGCCCTGCAGTCATCGTCACGCCTGCAGCACCCGTCGCGGCCCTGCCCTGCCGCCGTCGCGCCTGCAGCCGCCGTCGCGGCCCCACCGTCGCGGCCGCCGCCGTCGCCGTCTTTGCGGCCCCGCCGTCGTGCCTGCCCTGCCCGCCCCTGGTAAGCACCTGCCCTACGCGCGCTACCCGCGCCTGCCTGCCGGCCGAGCCGCGCCGCCCAGCCGAGACGCGCCGCTCCGCCGAGCCGCGTCGCCCAGCCGAGCCGCGCCGCCCTACCGAGGCGCGCCGCACTGCCCTACTGAGCCGCGCTGCCCTGCCCGCTCTGCTCCTGGTGCTTCTGCTGTTTTTGCTGCTACTGCTGCCACTGCTGCTACTGCCGCCATGGCTAGCCCTACGGTTCTTACGTTCGATGCTAAGGGACGTGCAGTTGACTTCAATGTCTGGGTAGATGATCTGTAGCTGTTTCTTCAGTGCGAGTCTCGCTTTTTGATCTCACGTCTGGCGCCTCTGCTGCACCTGCTGCCGATGCTGACAACACAGTTCGCTCGCAGTGGACTACTCGTGACGCTGTTGCTCACCTTGCTGTTTGTAGTCACCTGCCTTTTGCTGAGTGCACCACTTTGGCCAGTACAAGACTGCTAAGTCTTTGTATGACACTATCGTAGCGCGCTACTCCTCCCCTGCCACTGCTACCCTCAGCCGCCTCATGCTACCGTACCTGTTCCCTGACCTGGCCGCCTTTGCCACAGTCGCTGACCTCATTACTCACCTCCGCACTAGTGACGCCCGCTACCGCGCTGCGCTCCCCTCCAAGTTCTGCGCCAAGACCCCCCCCCCCCCCATGTACATCACCCTCTTCTACCTAGTCACCTGTTTCCCTTACTCCCTTTCCTCAGTCAGGGACCACTTTCTCTCCATGTGCCCCACCGAGCTCACCGTCGACCTGCTAGAGGAGCGCCTCACTACAGCTGAGAAGAGTATAGTTGCTGTAGGAGCTTCTCGCGGTGACCCTCGCGCCCCGTTCTTTGAGGGGTGTTCCCCCGTTCCCCTTCTGCCCTCTGTTGCTTCTGCTGCTGCTGTCGACCTCCTTGGCACCGAGGAGGTCGGGGCTGCGTCTGCTCCTAGTGGGAGGCGCCGCAGCAGCAAGGGCAAGGGGGGCAAGGGTGGTGGAGGGGACGGCGGGGGCGGCGGTCGTGGCGGTGGAGGAGGCGGAGGGGGTGGGGGTGGAGGCAAGGGTGGTGGCGGGAGTGGGGGCGTTGGTGGCGGCGGTGGAGGTGGTGGAGGTAGCGGCAGTGGTGGTGGAAGCAGTGGCAGCGGCGGTGGAGACAGCAGCGGCGGCGGTGGAGGTGGCGGCGGCGGTGGTGCTGGTCGGGGTGGAGCTGCGCAGCGTGGAGGCTTGAGCGGTAGCCAGCGCCAGCAGCAACCGCGTTCCCGCGAGACCCCGTCGCCCCAGCAGCTTCGTGAGTGGTACGCTGGGCGTGGGAGGTCTGGCGGTGCTGGTCCCTGCACTTACGTTTTCCGCACCGGCGGGCGCCGTGGGGAGACGTGCGGGAGGTCACACATGTCGCAGCGCTGTTTCGGTCGCCTATCTAACGCCTGGCGCGCACACTTTCCTGACGTTGCTGAGCTCCCTAGCTGGGCTGATCTGCTTAGGTAGAATGTTGACATATTTGCTCTTGATTATGATGCTATCCTTGCTGCCATGTATGCTGTGACTATTAGTGCTGAGGGTGACTGTTACCTGTGTGTGCCGCCCGACCCAGGTATAGAGTCTAGTGCTGTAGGTGCTGGTGAGGTTGCTGCTCTAGGTACTAGTGAGTCTGCTGCTCCAGGTGCTGGTGAGTCTGCTCTCAATGGTACTGCGCCTGCTGAGGCCTTGCACACCTTCACACTTGACTCAAGTGCTTCCCGCTCTTTCTTTCGTGACAGCACCACCCTCACGCCGCTCAGTCGGCCAGTTGCAGTCTCCCTGGCGGACCCCTCTGGGGGCCCCGTCCTTGCGCACTCCTCCACGGTCCTGCCGTGTCCGGCTGTCCCATCTGGCTCACTGTCGGGTCTCCACCTCCCCTGGTGAGTGGAGCTGCCCTTGAGGATGAGTGGGTTGACCAGTTCACTCCCGGAGGTCAGCGTGTGACCCACTGTACGTGCTCCCGGACTGGTCGGCACCTGGCCACGTTCACCCGAGCACCTGGCTCGAGTCTGTACACACTGACTACTGTGTCCCCTCAGGTAGCTGCGTCTGCATCTGTGTTTGCGTCAGATCAGCTAGCGGCCCCCTGCTCGTGTCGCGCTTTGTCGCACCAGACCGTCCTCTGGCACCACCGTCTTGGTCACCCCTCGGTGCAGCGCCTTCGTGGCATGCACCGCCGTGTCCTTGTCTCTGGTCTTCCCAGGGTTCTCCCTCCCCTCCCTCCCTCGCCTGCTCCTCCCTGTCTTCCTTGTGTCGAGGGGCGGCAGCGCGCCGCTCCTCACTCCTCCTCGTTTCCCCCAGCGACTGCTCCCCTGCAGATCCTACACATGGACGTGTGGGGCCCAACCTGCGTCCGTGGACAGGACCGCGAGCGGTACTTTTTGCTGGTTGTTGACGACTACACACGTTACACCATGGTCTTCCCCTTGCGCACCAAGGGTGAGGTCCCTGATGTTTTGATCCCTTGGATCCGCGCTTCCCGTCTCCAGCTCCGCGAGCAGTTCGGGACGGACTTCCTGCGTCTGCACTCTGACAGAGGTGGTGAGTTTGCCTCTGACTTCCTGCGGGACTTTTGTCGTGGGAAGGGCATTCGCCAGACGTTCACGCTCCCGGCCTCACCGCAGTAGAATGGGATGGCTGAGCGCCGCATTGGATTAGTCATGGAGGTCGCTCGTACCTCCATGGTCCATGCGGCTGCCCCCCATTTTCTGTGGCCTTTTGCGGTCCGATACGTTGCGCATCAGCTCAACCTCTGGCCCTGTGTCTCCTTGCCGGAGACGTCGCCCACACTGCGTTGGACGGGGGAGGTTGGCGATGCGTCAGTGTTTCGGGTCTGGGGTTCTCGTGCCTTTGTCCGCGATACTACCGCGGACAAGCTCTCCGCCCGTGCTATTCCTTGCGTCTTCCTTGGCTTTGTCCCTGACGCGCCTGGCTGGCACTTTTACCACCCCACCTTGCGTCGTGTCCTACCCTCTCAGGACGTCACGTTTGACGATTCGGTTCCCTTTTACCGTCTCTTCCCCTACCGCATTGCCTCTCTCCACCCCCCGCCGCACCAGGTCCTCCTCCGGTAGACCCCCTCCCCCCTCTATGTCCTGCTCCCTCAGGTGTGTCCCAGGTAGACGCTGTCGAGCATGTCAAGGTAGCGGTTGACTCTGGTGCTGCTACTGGGGGTGGTGCTTCTGGGGGTGCTGAGCCTGAGCGTGCGGAGCCTGGGGGTGCTGAGCCTGGGGTTGCTGTGTCTGAGGGTGCGGAGCGTGGGGGTGCTGAGCCTGAG